CATTTTTTGTTGAAGTATATCACTGAGTATTGTATTTCCTGACCTATGGGTGTTGCATTTCGTTGACTTGAGATTTCATGGGAACCTGATTCGAAAAACACTCGAAAAAGTTCACTTGGAAATTTTGCACGCTTCATGTTTCAGGTTATTGCATCCATTACATATTATATTGATATTATATTATCATATATATCATTATATTGTATATTATATACTATATATGCACGCGACGCCCAGTTAAGGTATCCGAGCGATAGACATGACATGAAACCTTAAGAGTCTCGAACCTCCCCTCTGACATTTACTTATCCTGTAGACGTTTTTCAACATAACTGGAGCTTAGATATTTAAAAGGCAACTAATCGCAAAGTAAAAGGAGGCCTAGCCTAGTCAGCCAAGTTGGTGCGCTGAGTAAGATTATTTTCGGAAAAAGGAAATTTACCGCTGTATAGCTTTTGAGAAGTTGTCTTTTGCAAATATTCTGCCTTAAGATAAAGTAGACTGTCCAAAAAGGTGTCACTATGCTGCTTAGGGATAAATTAAGTGAGCAGTGGTGGGTCTTATCGTAAGCACCTCATTCGCCCTCCAGACGGATTCCCATACACTTCAGTTGTTCCAAGCATGGTGGGTGGGCAAACATAAAACCATAAAGAAACGGTGGAGACAGTGTGTGGTAATAAGCAGTTTATGCGGGTTTTCCGTACTATTTTTACTTTTTCAAGTTGTCCACGCAGTAAATTAAATTAAAATGTTCTTACCAAGTGTTTCGAAATGTGATAACCCACAGATGTCACAATAAATGAAGTTCGCGATGGATTCCAATAAAGTTCTACAGACTATTCGTTGTCAGCTGAACTCGGAATGCCAGCTCGCAAAACGTCCCACCCTGCAACTTTAGCCTCTGAGAGGAGAAAGAATTGCTTTAAATTGTTTTCGAGATGTCAGATTTTATCACTTGAAAGTTTCAGAAATACCCAGTGACACAAAATGGTAGCCATTCATATTAGCTGGATATGATGTTACACTGGTAATGTGGTGAAATAATGGTAGCTCGGGTGAGTCTATTGGTTGTTGATCAGGTGGCTGTTGACCTGTTCGCCGAGCTTGGCAATTGATCCGCAAACGTTTCGTCACCATACGAGGAGACATCATCTGTGCGCATTTGATGATGCTTCCTCGTATGGTGATGAAACGTTTGTAAGCCATTTGCCAAGCTCGGCGAACAGATCAACAGCCATCTGATCCACAATCAATTGTTTTACACTAGAAGAAACACCTCCACGTGAAAATCGTCCGTTGTTTCCTTTGTAGAGGATACCTGCTGATGGAACATTAGGTGTCGTGTTCTCAATTCTCACTCAGTTTAATCTGCCAGACTTTTTACCGTAAAACTCCTCCTAGGCCCCACGGAACTAAACGATTTTTGCTGCTAAGTCACCCTTTGTCTAAACTTGCGAAACTACGTTGATCTTAGAGCAAATTTGAAGGCAGACCTTTTCTTCAAAATACAGGTTGCTCAACGTTCATCGAATCAGACAATGTATCGGTGCGACAAAAAACTTACAAGCTATTCTGTGTTTAGTTCAACTTGTCAAATCAGATGACCACGTGCGAAAGTCTGGTAGGAGCAACAAACCATTCGTGATATTCAACTTTCTCGGGGCGCACGGAATGAAAATTAGGCAAGAACGAAGAGAATGGAGATAGAATATCAACCTATCCAGCAAACCGGGGTTAAAGACGGTCTGGCTACAGAAAGACTGCAAATCTTTACGAATGTAACCTACATTTTGCAAATAAAATAGACACTAGAGTGAAAGATTGGGATCATCTGGGAGCCGAGACATGATTTTGAAAGCAACGTGTATTTTAATGACACCGATCGAATGGGCACATCCCTGCAGCATTCTCTAAAAGTGCCCTAACCGCTGTTCGACCGTTTTACAATGAAAAGTACTTTACGGATAGATAGCACAGACTTGAGCAACTTAGTCATTGTGCACTTGATTACCACTACGATTTGCCTACCGTCTGACTTAGCTAGATGCGTTTGCTCGTTTAACTGTGCTTCTGTTTTTGTTTTTGGTATCCATCATCTACCTACACCTATTCACCGTCGGTGGGGAGTGTAAGGAGGACCAAACGTATAGTGGGGCTTATCAGTGAATGTCTAGGCTGTCACGAAAATAGACCGTCTCGTTTGGTCTACCTATAAACGCGGGTTTCCGTGTTTTCGTTACGCCCATCCCAGAATCGCATACGTCACTCATGCACCTAACGCAATACATCTATCCACACGAATTATTTCTTGTTCATCGGTACATTACCAAAACACAGCCCTCTTTAATAACGTCATAGCGAAAAATCAGATAAAAGAGGAAGAACAAGAAGGTATCTGCGTCAAGCAAAACACTGCATTGTTATATACTCTGACCTGGAACTACAGCGGACCCCTACACTGAATTTCCAACCGCAGCTCTACCGACGACACATTCACTGGAACTGAATCAGAGATTCCACGGGGATGTAGGACCTAGGTAAATGCAGACACCGAACAGCTTTTCATGCCAGGTAAGAGGGAGAGCCGGTGCGAAATGTTGGCCAGTCGTAAAAAGCCAGGCTTTCGCATTCCTACAGCAACGCGCAAGTGTGCAGAAATTGCTCTTCCGTGGGTTGACTGGAAGCATGTGTACATGGGTTCAGTGACCACACTTTTTTTATCACTACCTCTCTATTTATGGTTCCACTTTGACTAACCAAACGCAAACTTATCCGTCAAAGTTTTCAACCGTCCAAACAAACCAAATGTCCCTCAGTCCGAAAGCACAAATCTCTGATGTCTTATACGATTATGACAAAAGCTCCTCAGCACTTTGGATACTTCTGACATTTTGCAAAAAATACCTAAATACCGTTTCCCGATCGTGACCCATGGTTGCATCACTTCATATGGAACCTGAGTTTTGAAGGTGCACTGCTTTTATTTACATTTTTATTGGGTTTCAAGTACTTCTCTGGTATCCTGCATTTTAGAGCTCTCAAGTAATTTGTCAGAGGGAAGAATTGGTCAACTTAGTAGGGTGACAATGCCCTCAAGTTCGGAGACCTTCTATCGGGGATTTATCTGATCGTAATATATTTCCTCATGATTACTTCGCGGATAGTGGACGTGCCCCGAGTAACTCAACAGTGGCTTAATCCCTATTTTGAGATGTACAATTAGTAATCGAACCGATAGTGGCACACCATAGAACCCAAGCAACTTACCACATTGATATTTTTATCATTCTAAAACTTTCGAAACTTAGTCATCCAGACATTGATTTTTAGTGGTACCAACGTACGTATATATGACGCAGAGCTCTTTAGCCGGTCAAAACTGAGGCGAGTTAGACAGAAAAGGTTTGAGTAAAAATGACGTATTGTTTTTTTTTAAATTCCTGTGCTTGTCTGGTTTTTTGGAAGTTAGTTGCTCAATAGCCGACATCCACTTTAAAATGCGCTCCGTTTTGGATGTTACATCACAGAAAGGATTTTTCTCAAGCGTGACGTGCAATTATGTAGTGACTCCTCGCCCACCCTTGTCGCACACCTTGTCTATAACAAAGTGAGCCGCACTCCTCCAGCAAGTGTACTTTCAAATAACAGAGTTAAAACAACCGTGCACCCCCCTAGAACATCCACGAGGAGGCTTACTGCTTATAACCTACTACTTATAACCTGTTCAATGTGTCAAGTGCATCGGACACAAGCTCGCCGTTCTACTGCATATGATGTGCTCTCGATACATTGTCGTGACGCCAACCCAAAAACGCAGGATTCATCTTTCCGAAGATAACTTTCTCTGTTTTGTGCGTTTTGCTGTCCGTAATTTGATGCTGATATTCCGCAACCAACCAACAAACGTTTCTTTGGTCATTTTGTTTTCATTAAACTATTTCAGGTTGCGAAAGTGGCAAGTTTGTCGCCAGTACAGAAAACACTTTCGGGCCATCCTGTACAAGGTTAATCATTCCCATCGACACTGCCGCTCCCCAAAACGATGGGTTTCTGTAACTATCATTTGTTCCTGCACATTATCGACCTAAACATCCACGGCGATCAACTAAATAGATTACATCAAATACAATGAAAATGCATTTTTATGAGGAAAACAGCAATCCTCTTTTTCCTGAGATGTTCAAATGAGTGACTTCCTTATCAAAAAAGACATTCATAACTTTTTTTTACTAAACTTTCGTTTTTCACTGTGTCAACCAACTTACAATCCCCTTGTTACAAAGGTCAGGCAACCAATTAAACCCTCTAAAACAGTCCGTGATGATTTCTTCATGTTTAGTTTGCGTCCAATATAATCAAATAGTTTGCTTCCTATGGCCTCAGGTTATGAAATTATCACGGATTTTGAATCCTTCACTTGAGGTTTGTTGATATAGCGGGCCTCATAATTGGTTTCACCCTCCTAGTTCCGCACTCCTGGACTGTTCGTGGAGCTCTAGTGTTTCCAGGTTCTCTCCACCATTTTGGATACATACGCCAGAATAGTAGGGAGCTTTCTCGCAAACTTTGCGGTTTCACTGCACGATTAGATCTTAAAACTTTAATCCAACCGACCCAACCAAGTGCCGGGGATGTTTTTTTCACATTATGAGGAAACTCTTTCAAGTCAAATGGCAAGATCAACAACCTGAGAGTTGATCAAGAGCCAAAGTTTTGCCAAACGATCCCACTGAACCCTCAAATGGTCCAATTTAATCACTTCCGGAAATTCCAACACATCTTTGCCATCTCCCTCAGTTTTCATCCATACGGTACGATGTCTCGTCAACAGCAATCCCGGTAGTAAGATAAGATTCCTGGCTAGATAGAATTTAGATATCGCATGCAATTTGTCTAGAAATTCCTCTATGCGTATATGAACATACTAATTAGTCGAAATATAGGTAGCTCGGGTGTGCTTACTGGTGGTTTATCAGATGACGCCGAGCTTGGCAGTTGGCTTGCAAACATTTCGTCCCCGGTCGAGCAGACATCGTCAGAGCGCGGTTGATCCATCCAACTGCAAGCCAATTGCCAAGCTCGGCAAACAGATCAACTGCCATCTGTTCAACCACCAGAACATACAAATCACCAACAACTTAGTCTATCAAATAAATAAGCCGAAGTACGAAAGTATCAAGCCCTTAGAATTACCATGCCTCGCTACCCAATGGATGATGCCTCAGACGAGAATGTATGCACAGTGCGACCCCACTTTATTTTTTTTTGTTTTCACCGCTGACGAGTTTTCGCCTGGTCCTCAGATAAACAGCCTCCCACAAACGTATCCATCCGGGCATCCTGTTTTCTGAGTGGAATGTGATTTTAAACAAAATAAACGTATGTGGTGTATGAACACACTCGTACCAAGTTAGGTAAAACACAAAGGTTTGATGGTCACGCCGGAAAATCCTAGATGTCAGAACCGAGACATCCAGACGTAATTCACAAGCTTAAAATAGATCAATATCTCGGAGCTGAAATGGTGAAATCCCATCTATTTCTACAGATCAGCATTTTTAAATAATTCAGCTTTAAAAGCAAGAATTGTTCGCGTTTTTTATGACAGATTTTACTCTATTTAGCTCAGCCACATGCATTATGACAAATGGGGATGATGTATCGTCAGAGGAAACTTCACAGAGGACGAGAAGGCCATAAATAACCTAAGAGGATCAATTGGAAAAAGTTTGGAACCGATTGATAAGTCATCGTTTCAGAAGAGCTTGGTAAAAAATCGGTAGTTTTTATTTGGGCAACGTTTCGCTTTTGACACAAAAGCTTCATCAGGCCAAGTGAACAGGTCACCAAATTGGCCAGGTTATAAGACAGACGGGGAACCAATCAGTAAGTCCTCTTCAAACTAGATCAGTGTTGAGTGTCAATTAACGGCTCTTGTCGGTTAATGTGGGTGCCAAAATCTTGAATTGATGGGTTGGAGAGGTTCCGACTTAGTCCCAATCGCTTTTCGTTCCTTAATCTTCCAATTCAGGGTGCTTCACTTGATGATTCACCTCGGGTGCCGGTGTTAGATTTTTTCCTTTGTGGGGTTGTGAGTACTCCGACAATTTAGTTTGAGGGGGGTTGAGGTCAAGTGGATTTCAGATGATGACCACTCTTACTTCTGATAACCGCACACCAACACGTGTCAGCTCGAGCAACCCAAGACCGTTCTTCACATGCTAGCCAGTTACACGCCTTCCATTCTGTTAACGCTGGGATGCTTGGCGATTTCTACCGCCTCGGTGATCAGTTTGTGTGACGTGGACCATAGTCCTCGCCTCGAAACCTCATCATTTTCTACGTCTATTTTGTGTCCCGTGTCGAGTGCGTGTTCCGCAATCGCCGAGTCTTTCAGTAACGCTTGATATTCATCTGCGTTTCTAGGCGGCCTGTTTATTTTTCTACTACACTCTCGGACTCTGATGTGCAGTTCCCTGGCCGTCTGTCCTATATAAACCTTGGTGCAGTCATTACACTTAATTTTGTAGATACGGTCCTTGGTTCTGTTTGCCGGGAAGCCATCCTTCAATTGCACCAGTGCAGAGCGCAGAGTGTTCCCCCTCTGGAAAGCTACTTTTATATTAGCCGTGTCAATTGCGAAGGGTGTTGGTACCGGTGGCGAAACAGGGAATGGAATGGATCGGGACAGCTGTTATTCCATATGAACCAGGGACATCGGAGGTAATTCGAAGAATTCTAAACACGGCCAAGCTCTTCTGAAACCTAAGAGGATGTTCTTGTACAAAGTGCAATCAGACTGCAACCAATGATGTGATGATCGGCTAACTATGACATTCGCTGTTGACTGTTTTCCCTGACTATTTTAATTAGCCACAGAAATTTCGTCACCATACAGGGAGATGTCGTCAGTGCGCGGCAGAGTTATTATTCTCTCCGGGTTTACCTGCGTTCACACAATTTTTAAAGAAGAGATGTTTTGTTGCTGGACCTCTCGTTTGCGTGCAATTTTACTAGCCTGTTCTGATTCATCTCGGTAATTTTGTCCTGACTGATTTGTTTGTATATGTAGTACTTTGCGTTTCCCTAAATTCTCGTCATTTGTTTACTCGATTGTGCAAAACCTAGTGGCTGATTTCGCAGTGGATTTATGAATTAGTTTTACACAAACAATATGAGTAAATCAGACAAAAGCGTTTCACGGATCCATAACATTTGCTTGAGGTTCAACAATGATTTCCCTGGGAACTCGAATATACTTTAAAATCTGCGTTGCTTATCTTTTAATGATACACTGTATTTTTTTAAAGTTTTTACCAGTTCGCCAGTAAAAGTCTCCAAATAGAACTTCGCCGATTTTTAGGAGAAACTGGTGCTGTTTACTGGTCATCTGGGAATATAATACCGACCAGTTTTGGTATAATCACTTGGTGTAATATGAACGAGAATTTCTGTAATGGAAACTACTCACAAGGTTGCTGAAAACTCTTCGACAGCCCATGACCGGTTCGTCCTCCTTGGGGCTCATCAGGTTGGCGCAATCCCCGAGTTCCCGTCAACCTGCAATGTCTCGAACATCGTGCCAACTGAATCATGAGGCGGCCTGTGTGCATCACATTAAGTTGTAGAATATCATAAACGAGAGATTCAACCAAGTCTCTCGTGATAATCGAATTGGTTTGCAAGTGGATGTAATAATCACTTGGTGTAATATGTACGAGAATTTCTGTAATGGAAACTACTCACAAGGTTGCTGAAAACTCTTCGACAGCCCATGACCGGTTCGTCCTCCTTGGGGCTCATCAGGTTGGCGCAATCCCCGAGTTCCCGTCAACCTGCAATGTCTCGAACATCGTGCCAACTGAATCATGAGGCGGCCTGTGTGCATCACATTAAGTTGTAGAATATCATAAACGAGAGATTCAACCAAGTCTCTCGTGATAATCGAATTGGTTTGCAAATGAGTGGATGTAACTTTATTGAATGATGACCCACAGACGGAAAACATCAGCAATTACGAACATTGTAAAACGTGACGCGATTGATCACTCCATCTATATTTTATTCCCGGTTGTTCGCAGCGCATCAGCATATTTGATGTCAAGGCTGAGCTTCCTTAGAGACGCAAGATAGTTATAATGAGCAACTCAGAGGACATATTTGGACTGGTTTCCAAGTAAAAGTCGATGGACAACATTCAGATACAGTTGCTTCCTTGTTGCGAGTAGAAATCTGCAAGCTGCTACAAGAAACATTGTACTGTGCAATTTTTCGAGTTGATTGATAGATATCTTTAAGCAAACCTTTACTGCCAAGTAAAAAGGGCAAAGCGCGAGCATTCGTGTGTTAGTGCGCCAAAAGTACCTTGTTCCTGAGTCGAAATGAGATCAGACTGAGTGTGCATTACCTCATTTCTGAATTTCAGTTAGGGTCTCCCACATATCACACCATAAATCCTTCCTGACATCTTCGATGCTTTTCTTATCTAACCCTATTTCTGAGGCATTTGCACAGTCGCACAGAAGATTGTTACAGGCACAAAATAGTTGTCAATCCAGAGACGGTAAGCCGATAAGCGATTGTAGTCGTAAGAGAAAACGGCTCAGGATGAGTCAATACATTTGGGATCTGGTAAGCGGGACAACATTTTTTATTCGTTGTTTCTAGTGAACCCCTTATCTGGGTTTCATCCCAGGTGTTGCATCCCATTTCATAAGATTTCGGCTGTTTATATTCCAGGTCGAAGAGAAATCGTGGACGAAGTATTTCTGAGGCAGTGTCTAGCAAATCAGTGGTTCGTTATCTCGGTCTGACAAAATATGAGTACCTAAGTATGCTGTATAGTTGCGCTGATGTCTACCGGTTATCTCTCCAAATTCATGAGATCTCCTGTTTAGAGGAAAAAATCGCATTTACTGCGAATCCAGCCAGAAATGACTCATTGTGTTTTTGTTCTTTATTCACCTTAAAAGGAGGCTTCTTTGTAAGGTTCTTGACGGCGTTGCAAATTTTTCGCTTCTACTTCACTTTTCTTCTTGAACGCCTCTAGTCTACCAGCATTTCCAGTATAAAATGTCCACAGTTGTTTGCTGTAACACATTATCCGTGAAATGCCAACCAAAGCAGGAATTTTGACTACTTGGTAGCAGAAAAGTAGTACCTCTAACATTTCGATCATCTTCGCAGGGAATATGATGATGAACAATACGCCTATTAGACAGGAATGTGAAAAAAGACATTTCAGGGCTAATCATATGCTGGCACGCATTTTAACATGTTCAGTTGTGTAACACATTGAACGTCTCGGTTCATATCGTCCATCCGAATTTACAGGTGTTTGGCGGAGCATAGTTCATATGTGCTGATTTGATGAACTGTGTCGAAGAAATTTCAGCAGCCTTGTGAGTAGTGTACTGCGCATTGTATTGCTCTGTGTCAGGTGCAAACCAGAGAGCACCTCAGATAAACGGGCTGCTCGTCATCACGGAGAGACATTTTTGCAGGTGTGCCTCATCCAAACGTCAGTTTTGGGACATGAAGAGATGATTTTCTGAACATGATGCTTTGGCGAATGTCTATCTGTCAAACAATTCGGGATTGAAGCAGACGTAAAACACAGTGATCAGCTGAAAAAACAGCTGAATTTTCCGTGTTTGGCTCCAACCGGACATCCAAGTATAGTATTTTATTCGACGCACATTTTATGCTCTCACCGCTTCCCTCCAAAAAACATATATCAGGCCGCAGGATCACGAACAAAACTTAGTCCGGGAAAGACAATGTAAACCAGATAATCCTTTCTGACACTTACAAGATATCCAAAAAGGTTAGAAAACAGTTGTGTTGTGCTAGGAAGCTTCAGTTACGACACTCTGGTTCGGGTATTCATGAAACATGAAATCCGTATCCCAGCAGACTACATTCCAAAAAGTGTTTTATGAAATCACCCTCCCAATCGGTTACATTCGCAGCTCCAGTGAACAACTTCAGTTCGAAAAGTCACTACTTCAAGTGTGGAGGTTGTTGAGCTGATTTTTTAGGGGGTGATCGGTTAAATGTTTCAAACTGTTGCTCAGAATATTCCTTGTCTGTTCTGATACGAACACGAATCGTTCCGGGTTCACTTCTTAACTCGTGGCCACCAGCAACACAATTAAATCCAGT